ACCGCCGGGCTGTGTCTGCCTCCGAGGTAGCGCTCTTCACCGACGCGCTCCCTTTTCCAGCCCTCTCCGCCAGCGCACCGTGGGTCAGTGCTGGGGTGAGAAGGGAGGACGCGGCGGGCTTTCCCCGCGCCCTCTCCCCGCCGGTCTGGGGGCCCGGGGGACAGCAGGCACGCACCCGCCGACTCCACAGCTGGGACATGCCGCCTGGGGGCGCTGGCGCGCAGACCCCGCCGCGCTCGGGACGGGAACGCACAGCCCCTCCAAAGCCTCAACCAGAAACAACCCGGCGGCGGACTTCGGCCGCTCCCTGAACCAAAAGCCAGGAGCGGGTCCCTCCCTGGAGGCCCGGTCCGCCGCGCCCTCGGCCCCCACTCTCAGGTGAGGAGCCTGGGGGGAGCGCGGCCATTGGGAAGGGACTCCAGGACTAGGGCGTGACCGCGCGCGGGGACTGAAGGCCGCGAGCCGGCCGGGCTTTGCGGGAAGGGGGCCAGAGCCGCGGGCCGGGGCACCCTCGTCGGATCTTGCCTGGCTCTGGCGCGGAAAGGGCTGATTCGCCACTTTGCCGGCCTCCAAACGGGCTCCGAGTCCCTGCACTGGCTCTTTTCGTTTGAACAAAATCCCCCGTGAGGCCGTAGCCTCCAAACCGTTTTCTCTGAGGGCCCTTTGGCAGCTTGTGTGGATCGCAAGCTTAAGGCACGGAGAACAGAGGGACAGCGGTGACCCGTGGGGACCCTGCTTGCTGTTGTCCTTGGTGCCTGTGACTGCGCTAGCCACGTGCGGCTCCGGTGACGCCGAGGCTCGCAACATTTCGGGAGTGCGACCTCTCGGAGCCCAGCGCTCGGCAAGCTTGCTCGGGCTCCGGGCGCCGCAGGGCCAGTCCTCTGAAACGGAGAATTCGTGTGAACGGGATGTCCGCGCGTTAGCCTGTCCCAAAGGTTGAGCAACACGGAAAACGGCGGGGTTCAGGGTTTGCAAATGCCCGGCTGCGTCTGCCTGGACACGACAGACCCACGGGAGCAAGGGGACCGGTGGGGAGGCGCCGGCAGCCTCGGCGCACACCCGCCCGGCGCCGCTGGCCCGCTTTCAACGAAACGCGCCGCCCAGGCCCTGCGCCGCACTGTCCCGGCCGGTATGCAACAGCAGGAGTGAGCTCCGGGAACTGTCCGGAGACCGCGCCCAACCCACCCCGGCAACTGACGCTCGGAGAGGCCCGGAGGGCCTGCGGCGGGCGGCGCCAGGGCCGTGGTCTGCCCAGGACATTTCTACAGCCTTTATACATTGAAAAAATAAAGATTGGAAAAAAGAAAAGTTTTTGTGCTCTGGTTCTTCGGCCCTCTGCCACAAACGAAGTTTCCAGTTCGCTGAGGACACAGGCCTTCCCATCTACTGTCCTTGGAAATAGTCAGTGAGCAGCTCTTTCTCCCTAGATCAGCCCATTCTTTCTGAAATAGTCCCAATCCAAAACCACTGGGAAGTCAGGCAGCTGCTTTCTCCTTTTCTCCCCAAATCAGCAGCACCACCACTGTGGGTGCCCTGTGCCAGCCCTGGTCTGAGCAATGGTCACTGGACAGTGGGTGTTTGGGCTCTGTCCTAGGAGCTGCCCACACAGCTCCAGACATAAAGGTCCCAGACTGTCTCTGACCAAGAATCAAGGACATGAGATCATTGGGGCGTACCCACCCAGCCCTAGTGCCGCCTTCCAAAAAGTCCTATCCTCCAGGGGGACTTTCAGGAAGCCTGGACATAAAAGGAGCCATTTTGATGAAGCCCACATGTCCACAGTTTTACAAAGATTTTCTCCTTCTTAGCCATGGAGCTTCTCCTATTTGTACTTGTTGAGACAGCAAGTGTAAGCCTCTTGAGTACAGGTCTTTGGGAGATCCTAGAGATTGGGATGGGGTAGACTCAAAGTGCCTCAGCCACAGGCCTCTCAGCAGCTGCTCTGGGTGCTGGATCTGGGGCTGAGTTTGTCCACCAGTAAGGCAAGTGTCTATCAAATCCTCACCCAGACACTTCCCAAATGTTCTGCCCTGTGGCAAAAATCATCAGGGAATGGGCTAAGAAATGTGAAGAGATCCTAGCTTAGCTTGTAACCTTTTTAGGGCAAGTGCCCAGCTGTCCCTGCTGCCAAGAGGTTCTGGCCCAGATCAGCTAGAATCAGTTCTTACAAATAAGGATGAAGACGATAACTAGTGGAATACAAACAAACATGCCATACATTGAGTATGGTGCTCGGGGCTTTCTGGGCCTGTTCTGTAATGACTGCTCAAATGGCACACACTGTATTATTCAAGATGGCAGGTTCCACCTCTGTTTTGTTCTCTCTCTACTTCTGAGTGTTGCCTGAGGCTCCTGGCAGGGCTGACTTTTGGGCTTATGGCCCAAAGACTGCAAAGAGGGCAGCACTTGGAGAGACAGTGAAATTGAAGTTCTAGAAAAAGCCCAGAATAGTCTGCTTTCACAGACTATTGGCAGAATCCAGTCCTGGGACAAGTTCAACATTGAAACTGCAAGGCCCAGAGGAAGGTCACATTCACATGAAGGCTTTGGCTGAGGCTGCAGAGATCACCCACTTTTTCAAGGTTAGTATTCATAGACCCACCTCAGCTCAGACCAGCAGGGACTTGAGAGATCGCCCAGGCCTCAATCTAAGAGGAATGAAGAGGAATAGGACACACACTGGCCCAAAGTCCCACACCACAAAATAGCTGGCTGGTCCCATTCACCCATGCCAGCCCAAGGTACTCCCCCTACAGTCCCAGCCTGAGTTTGCTAAGGTAAAAGATGGCCATGACTATAGTTGGGACCAGACTGCCAGCTGCATCCTTTAACCTTGTATCAGAAGAGGTCTTGGAAAGAGCTGTTCCAAGGAGCTGTTAGAGGAAAGCAAAGTGGCCTTATCAAAGCCTGGGGCAAATTCTTCCATAGGTCTCCCAGGGGGCTCACAGATGACTCTGTGCCAAACTTGTGTAGCAGTGCCTAGGACTCTGGATACAGTGACCTAGACACAGTAGGGCCCCTCTCAGCCCACAGATGCAGACTCCAAAGATGCCACCTGGGTTTCTGCAGGAAGCTGTCTGCCTCTCCCTACCCAGTTGTTGGCTTGGAACCTTCTTTAACAGCCCTGTGGTCTCAACATACCAGGGCAGGCCCCCAACGAAACAAAGTCTCGGGGAGAGTCCCAGGATTCCGCTCTCTTACACCTGCAACACTCCCAAAGGCCTTCCAGAATGCTGAAGCAGAGTGTAAACTTTGGAAATGGGCACACAGAAGAATAAATATGTGCTACGTACCTTACCCATACACAACAAACAAAATCAAAAATTGAACCCAGGGCTCTGGACTCCCATTTCAGTACTCAAGCACAACCTCCCTAGAAAGCTTAAAAGGATGGGAACAAAGAAATGTGGCCTGGGCCCTAGGCTGAGGGCAGAGCCCAGGAGCTCCAGGCCTGCAGCAGCAGAAGGGAAAGACGGGAAACGGAAGAGGAAGGGACAAATTGGGGAAGGAACTAAGCCTGGGGCTCTTCAAAACCGTAGAAGCAGTAGGAGCCCCCTTCCACTCCCCCCTCTTGTCCCCCCAGCTCTTCCTCCTCTTGCTAGCCCTTCTCCCACAGAACCAGCACCATGTGTTTCTGCGGGCGCCCTGGCAAGGAGGCAAAAAACAAGAACTCCCTTTTCATGGCCCTCATTCTGAAACTCAGGCACCCTGTTTCCAGGCTGCGGTGGCCCGGAGCACGAACTAAGCCCAAGCGCAGAGGCGGGAGATCCTGCCTCCACTCTCGTCCTCGGGCACCCACCGGGGAGACGCCGACATCGTACTAAACTCCCTGCTTTTGCCTTCCCGCCCCCCCGTGGGCACAGTAGGGGGTCTGCGCTGTTCCCCGGGTCTACGCTGTCCCTGGGTTCCGCGTTGCCGCTGCCGGCTGGAGTCAACTTCCGCAGAGGCCACACGGAACGCGCAACGCTGCAACGCGCTTCTCGGCCTCGGGAGCCGTGGGGTTAAGTCTGAGTCCCCGCCCGGCGAAAAGCTGAGAGCGCCGAGCTGGCGCGGCGTCGGCCGTGGGGCAGCCGGCTGGGTTAGGAGGAAAGGCGGGATTCTCCGGGAAGTTGATTCTCCGGCGTACGCCTGCAACCACTGCCAAAACTTCCCCAGTCCTCTCTCCTACCCTCTCTCCCTTTCCCTCGAGGACCGCCTGAGTCCGGAGTTTCTAGAATGGGGGTAGGGCGCTGTCAGCAGAAAAAGCCAAGTCTTCCAGTGGCGCCCGAGAGCGTCGAAACTCTCCTATCCCACTAACCCGCTCCTGTAGAGAATCTACCCTGCGAAAAGTGACCCTGGGAGGGAAGCGGTGACCCAGGTGCGGACGTGAGGGCACTCTGCTGGGCCTGGGCGAGGCTGTAGTGCCTTCCTTTGCGAACAGCTATCCAAAGTTTCTTCCACCCCAGGATCCCTCCACCCCTCTCCTTTCCCTTCCTCCAGGGCACCCCCTTAAATGATCCTCCCCCTTCCCAGCTCTCCTCTTTCTTCCCCTGCTCGATCCTCCCCCTTTCCTCTTCTTGCGTCCCCAATTCCGCCCCCACCACCCCTCCCCGCCAGTGTATTCCATCTCCCTTGCTCTTTGGGCGTCCGCCCCGTCAATCACCGCCGCCCCGGGCCTCTACCCGGCCCCTACCAGGCCCCTCTCCGCCTCTCAGGCTCTCCGAGCGCCTCCGGCTCCTATCTCTAGCCGCCCTCCGCTTTGCGCTGAGCCGGGCGATCTGTCAGCGGAGCCGGCTGGAGGAGCCGCCCGGCCCGCCGGGGCTCGGGTTACCAGTGACTGACAGCGTCTCCATGGCGAATAATTTGACTCCAACTATTGTCTGGCGCGGGCAGGCCCTGGGTCAGATAACCGGACCAATCAGGGCGCGGGCCGCCGTGCCTCATGCCCGCTTAGAATAATATTATTAAAAAAGCTGCGAGCTAGCTAGACGGGAGGGAGAGCGAGCCAGGAACTAGCGAGGGAACGGCAGGCGGGCTCGGAGCATGCGGAGCGGCGCCCCGGGCGGCCCCCGGGCTTGGAAGAGGGCACAGGCGAGGCGCGCGGGCGTCGGGGACCCAGAGCTGCTGGAGACTGGTGCCTGGCGCAGCGACGTACTACTGTGACTCGGGGATCACAGAGAGCCAGCTCCAGGCCAGGAGGCCCGGCCCGCCCGCTTCTCTGACCAGACGGCCCGCACGGCCCGGCGGGGAGGCGCTCATGTGGGACTGTGCGGCGCGGTGAGGACGCGCGGGGGCGGGCGGGGGCGCAACCGGCACGATGTCCATGCTGCCCACCTTCGGCTTCACGCAGGAGCAAGTGGCATGCGTGTGCGAGGTGCTGCAGCAGGGCGGCAACATCGAGCGGCTGGGCCGCTTCCTGTGGTCGCTGCCCGCCTGCGAGCACCTACACAAGAATGAAAGCGTGCTCAAGGCCAAGGCCGTGGTGGCCTTCCACCGCGGCAACTTCCGCGAGCTCTACAAGATCCTGGAGAGCCACCAATTCTCTCCGCACAACCACGCCAAGCTGCAGCAGTTGTGGCTCAAGGCGCACTATATCGAGGCAGAGAAGCTGCGCGGCCGACCCCTGGGCGCTGTGGGCAAGTACCGCGTGCGCCGCAAGTTCCCGCTGCCGCGCTCCATCTGGGACGGGGAGGAGACCAGCTACTGCTTCAAAGAAAAAAGTCGCAGCGTGCTGCGCGAGTGGTACGCGCACAACCCCTACCCTTCACCCCGCGAGAAGCGTGAGCTGGCGGAGGCCACGGGCCTCACCACCACGCAGGTCAGCAACTGGTTCAAGAACCGGCGGCAGCGCGACCGGGCGGCTGAGGCCAAGGAAAGGTACGAGTAAGTAGAGCTTCAGCGCCAGCTCTCCAGGGACTGAGGGAGGAGTCGCGGGGCTTTCTGTCCACCCCTGGAGAGGCCCAAACTGGTCCTCCAGGCCCAGCCACACCCCAGATGCAGTCTGGCCTGACCTGGATGGAGCTTAGGTCTTGCTGGAGATGGCGCGGGGCAGGGATTCGTCTGAAGCGGGCAAAGCAATCCGGGAAGTTGTCAGCTAACTTCCTGATCGCATGTGGAGAAAAGTGTAGAAGCCTGGGCTTTGAAGGAGGTCAGCACTGTGGACTGCGATACCTGTCAAGTTAGCCTAGCAGGCTCCACCTGACTGTCCAACGAAGGACCCAGGAGTCTGGACCCAGGTGGAACCAGGTCGCATATTGGCGCTGGCAGTGCATCTTCTCAGCCTTGACCCCAGGACAAGGGTCAGGACTAGGATAAAACTTCCCTAGAATGACCTGGATGGGCAAAGGCCCAGGAGCTGAGAGTGAATCCTTTGTCCCAGATAGAAAGGACCTAGAGGTGAAAGGCTCCAGGGAGGAAGTATAAGCTCTGGGAAATGATGCAAAATACCTGCCCCTCTCTGCTTTCCCTGACCCTCCAGGGCCTTCACCCTCCTCTCCTTATGCCTTACCCTCTTCAGTGAGTAGGTTGATATGTTTGGGTTGAGTTGAGAGCCACAGAATTGAAAGCCACTGGGAGTTGTATGTCCTGGGTTATGCCTGAGCTAGCCTAAGGGCTGACCATTAGGTCCTGTAGCCCCGCAAAGCCCCAAATCTGGAGAGAAACTGTGGAAATAGAATCTAGCCTGAGGATAACAGCAACACCTGGGGTAAGTGGTATGGGGCATGTGCAGCCGGAAGTTGGATGATCAGGGTCAGGGGTAGGAAGGCTGGACAGTGGAAACAGATCTGGGGGTTGAAGTGAAGAGGTATAATAGGTGGGGCCCTGGCATCCAAGACCAAGACATTGGAGTATGCACAGTGATGTGGTCTCAGCTGCCAGCCCTAACCAGGAAAGCCATAACAAAAAGGGAGGCCAGTGAAGATGATCCTGCCCAGGATTTCAATATCCAGATCTGGGCTGTCACTCAAAGGCAGAGCTGGAGGTAGCTTCTGTCTGCTGGGTGCTCCTCCACCCAGACTGGCCTATGTCCAGATTCCTGAAGCCCTGCTAGGCCCCAGGTGAGAGCTGCAGATTCAGGCTCCCTTACAAAAACTCAAAAGTCTAGGCCTTGTCCCTAGACTGCCTAGCAGTACCCTCCCTTTCTTCTCCTTTCTCGCAAGGGCTGCTCTCCATGGCCCCAGCTTCTGGTCTCCCAGCTGAAACTTCCACTGTGCTACCAAGGAAAGAGACCTCCATCCTTGGAATCCCCTCCCTAACCTTAGCAAGAAGAACCCTCACTGGCCCTCCCAGTTCAGAGCTATAGGAAAAGGACCCTTAGCCCCAGCCTGTGCCCAGCAAGTTTTCCTTGAGGTGGAGAAAAGCAAGGGGAAACGAGGGCCTGTGAGATGCCTAACTTCCTGGGGCTCTCAGCCTGGGATTTAGAGTCCCTCATCCTGTAGCCCCACTTCCACCCAAGCAAACCGGGCTTGAGGAGCCTAAAGGGTCTGAAAATCCAGGCATCTTCTCTTTCTTCCTGCCCATTCCCCAACTCTAGGGAGCCCCGTTCCCCTTACCCATCAGTTTCTGAAAAGAACTGTTGGGGGAAGGAGACAGGCAGGAAATACAGAAAACAGGAAAGATACTTTCAAGAGATTGGGAAAATGAGAAGTAGGGGAAAATACACATGGCACAGGGAGAGAAAAGAGAAAAATCCAGGGTTAAGAGATTAAGAGAACCCTGAGGCCGGGCAAGAAAATGGAAGAAACCGAAAATACCCGCAAGCAGCGCGGCAGTTCCGGCTCCAGAGTGAGATGGCGCCGAGTGGCTCAATTTCCCGCACTGACCTGTCTGCTTTGATCCTCCACCTGCAGGGAGAACAGCGAGAACTCCAGTTCCAACAGCCACAACCCACTGGCTTCCTCGCTGAATGGCAGCGGCAAGTCGGTGTTAGGCAGCTCGGAGGATGAGAAGACTCCGTCCGGGACACCAGATCACTCGTCGTCCAGCCCCGCGCTGCTGCTCAGCCCTCCACCGCCACCAGGGCTGCCGTCCCTGCACAGCCTGGGCCACCCTCCGGGCCCCAGCGCGGTGCCAGTGCCGGTGCCGGGTGGAGGCGGCGCAGACCCACTGCAACACCACCACAGCCTGCAGGACTCCATCCTCAACCCCATGTCGGCCAACCTCGTGGACCTGGGCTCCTAGAACCCCGCTTGCCTCGACGCTCTTGCCTTCCAGGCTAGGCGCCGGGGACCTGAGAGAGGCGGTGTTTGAGGGCGCCCAGCGCAGGTGGCCTCACCAGGTACTGAGAGACCCGCACTGAGCGGGCAGAACCTCGGCGGGGCAGGGCCCATGGCTGTCAGTCCTTGTTAGGGATTTATTTCCAACAAGTTTTTTGAATCCTTTGGAGGCTGGGGAACTGGGTCTTGAACCAGAGAAGAGAATAAATCACACACTACCCCCTTTCTCTCTCTCCTGATCTTCTCTTCTCCACTTCTGTCCTTATCCCTCTCTTGCTTTCCCTGGCCTTTCCCCCCTTCCTTCTCCTTTCTCCTTTTCCTGCATTCTTTCTTTTTTTCTTTCTTCTGTCAATCTCTCTTTTGCTTTCTCCTATGTTTGTGTTTCTCTTTCCTTCTAGATCTCTGGTTTGCCACCACCCCACGTACCCTGTGTGTGTCTTCTCTGCTTCTCTTGCCCTGTTTTTGGCTCCTCCACCTGTACCCCTAATCTTTCTCCTCCTGCCTGTTGTCTATGTGCCCCTTTCCTGCCCCCTACTCTCATACAGGGGGTGGGTGGAGGGCCAGCAGAAGAAAGGGCCCTTGAACTTAGACGTCTCCAGAGGCCCTCCCCCACCTCCAGGGGTTAGTGGGGCTGCAGGTGTCAGCTTTTCTGCCCAGTAACTTAAGTGAAAGAGAAAGGGCAGCTCGCAGAAGGCCCTGAACATCCGCTGGTTGCGGCCTCTTCTCTCTGCGCTCTCCTCTTCCTCCACCCTGGGGCTGTAGCCTCAGCGCTCCCGCAGAGCGTGCCTCCCTGCCGAGGACTTGCCGTCTCTGTGTTATGCCCTCATGTGAATGTTCTTCGGGAAATATTTCTGCTTTTATTTTATAATAAAATTAGAAATCATAAATATATATATGGTTATATACCATGAGACCCAATGGCCAGGAGTGCAGCAGTGTCTAATTTCCCTGCTAGGACTGGAAACCCCGGGTGGGCCATTCTGGGGAGCATGCTCTGGTGAGTCCCCTAAACCCGGGGAGAGGCTTTCATACTTACGTGACATGTGTCAGTGGCAAGGTGAAGGGACTGAAATTCTGCAACCTCCTCCCCCAGAGCCCACTATTCTTTTCTTGTCTGGGAAGGCTCCCTGCAGAAGTGGGGAGGAGGCAGCCTGCTTCTCTCCCCACGCGGGCACAGCATGGCCAAATCCTTCTTCACCTCAGGGTCGGGGTGCAAGATGAAAAGTGGTGTGGGGGGAGTGGGAAACGGGTGTGCATGTATTGCAAGATGCCAGGGCTGGGAAACAAATCCGGCACCAGAGGCTCCCTGTCGCGCAGACCTTTGGCAGCGGTCGCAGGCCCTGAAACCCGGAGCCATGCATTGGGTAGATTTGTGGGCCTAGGGGAACAGCCGCCTAGACCTAAGCTTAAGGCGTGCAGTTCGGGTGGTGCGTGTGGCTTTGAAGAAAAGGTCTTCGTGTTCGCACTCCTACTTCTGTCAGTTTGCAGTGGACGGTAAGGGGTACAGGCCGAGGGTAGTCAGACTCCAGGTGGTGGGTGATAGACACGTGTTCTAGAGGGGAGCAGGCAGAAGCCTGGGCTGGGAGCTTGAGGCCTAGCCGGCTCCTCCGCTCAGACTGCAGCGTAATGAAGTGCTTCTGCAGCTGTAAGTTAACCTGCAGCGCCCCCTCCCCTAGGAGTCCTAGCCCCCTCATTAAGGGACACGTCTAAGCCCGTCTGGGCAGACCCCAAGTGTGTAGGACTCCTCAAGGAAGAAGTTGAGGCTTTTCTGTCTCAGATTGCAGTGACTGTGGGTTCTAAACTCGTCCCTTCTAGGCGGCCAGGACTTCCATGGCCTTGGTAAGAACCTAGAGGGCTGAGACATCTTTGGACTTTTCTAGTAAAATCGGAATAAAATCACAATACTTTTTCACTAGGACTTTTTGAGTATCAAAGATTCCTTCCTTCCCATTTAACACTTGCTGGACTCAGGCAGCTGCGCAGGCTGAAGGCACAGGAGGCCACACCTCAGTGTTGGCTTAGCACAGGCCTGAGGTCTAAGGGGTGCCCAGGAGACTCAGACTGGGTGTAGCTGGAGTCCTCCTGTCTGAGACTATACTTTGCTCCCCTCGCCCCAAGAGGAATTACAGCCCTGGCAGCTCAGCTCTCAGAGCACAATTCTGGTTTGTGCTTGTAAAAGGCCTTAGCACCCCAACTTCTACTGACTGGCAAGATCAACAGCTGGCTACTGCCCAGGGGTCCAAAGGGACTTATGAAGTGCCTTGCAACAGCCCAAGCTGTCCAGACAGGACTTGGAGATGCCCCTTTCCCCACACCAGAACCCACTCTTTGCCCATGCTTCCTTTAGGGAGGAGGCAAACACAGTAGCTCCTTTATCCTGGGTCACCCCTACCCAGCCCCCATTCTTGACTCTCACACTCACAGGAAAACAGGCTCCATACCAACTTTCACAGGGACACATACAGATGCATTTAACACAAATTCCATTCACCATTATTGGAAGCCTGCTGTGTGCCAGGCATAGTGGATGGCACCAAAACCCCTCGCCCTCTCCCACATAGCAGCTACCCAGGGGAAACACACAGACTCCATCATAGACATGTTCATACCAGCATGCACACAGACACACAGAAGCAAGCATACAGGGATTCCCTCACTGATATACATGTGAGACATATTCACAAATGAACCGCCTCACATGTGTTCACACATACAAAAACACATCATGCTCTCCCCAGAAGCACACAGATCTGCAACCACACACTGGTGCCCTTGCTAGCAGCCGATCCCTGCCCATCAGCCTGCTGGGGCAAGACTCTGCCTGCAGCACTGCCTGATGGGAAGGCCTTGGCACCTAGCTGCTTGATTGCAGAGAAAGAGACGGTCTCACCCTGGGACAGCAGCTGGTCAGTGATCTCACTGCAGGTAACCCCTGGGTCTGGCCTGGTGGAATTGCTGGAATTTGCCTGGAGTTCTCACCCACCGGTAGGGGGCAGATGCCAGTTCCCAGGCTTTATTTAGTAAAAATGAATCCTGGCAGAGCAGCCATACTTGTTTCAGCTTCCCTCTTTTCTCCCTCTCCCCTGGAAAGCTAACGCTGAAAAATATTTAAACTGGGAGGTGGGCTCTATGCAGAAGGTCTGGAAATAAATCTGAGCAGCTATTCACTGGCCCACTGCACAAATCTATACAAGCCAGTCCCTCCCTCCATCCCACATCCAGCAAGACTGAGCTGCTGTCTGGACCATTGCAAGCCATCTGCACCTAACTTTCCCACAGAGCTTGCTGGCTGAATACAGTCACTCCTCATAGGCATCCACTGAATAGGATTCCCAGTGGCCTGTCACCCCTCCACAACCACCCATCTGCACCCTCAGCTGCCATGGAAGCTACGATTTTGTTTCAGCCAACCAAAGAGACTCAGAAGCACCCCTTCTTTTTCCCAGACTACATTCACTACCAGATGCCCTTCATTTGTTCCCAACCACGCCCCCGGTCCATGCAGCCGTTTAGAACAGAAACTCTATGAAAAAGGTAGAATCCAGCACCTGGAGGCAGCTGGCTGGACCCAAGAAAGAAAATCGCTTGGGGGCATTGTAAAAAAGGCAGAGGGCAGAGGGCAGGGGAGCAGATGGGGTTCACAGTTCATTCCTGTTTGTCTCCTCCCGGTGGCATATAGCCCCGGTCAAGACTTGGGTCAAGATCTTCTAGTCCCCATGGCAGGCAACTCAAGGGAGTGGCAGGCCTGTTAGGCAGCAGGTGGTGTTGTCCTGTTGCTCCACGAAAGGTTAAATAGAGCTAGTGACATCTGGGGGAGAGAACAGGGAGCTATACAGTCCTGGGTTATCTCTAGTCTTTGTAGAAAATACAATTTGAACCAATGAAAAAGGCAAGGACCAGCCAAGTGGGGGCGTGGCAGTGAAGACACAGGAATTCATCCTTCACCAGTGAATGGTTTTGTGTTGAGGGACAGGTAAGAAGGGGTTGAACTTGGGACTTTACCCCTTCTTATCTTTCTGTTCCCAGCCAGGGCTATGCTTCAGTCCTCTGCGCGCTCAAAGCTGCCTAGGGCATACTATAGGTGGAGAGGACTCAGTGCCTAGAGCTGTACTCTGGGAGATGTGAGAAGGCAGGAAAGGGTGCTTGCGTGAGCACCAGAGAAGGTGGAAAAAACACTCCACTGTATGGAGATGGGCAGATGCGCACCTTGGGAGGATGGCAGTTTTTGAGAACAGGGGTGTGAGGGTGAGCCCATGAGAGCCCTGGGCACCTGGGGGAGTTACAGAGTCTGGGGCTCCAGCTTACAAGCAGATGCGCCTTGCCTGGAGAAGTACCAGCCTCTCCTCTTGTGCCGCCTGAACCCAGCGCGGCTACAGTTGGTCCTCACTCCCGCAGCCGCTGCTGGCCTGACAAGCAGGGAGAAACCGAGGAACTGCCGGTCCCACTGTCCGTGGCAGGGCGATGGAGCCCACCTTGGTGCCGGAAGACCTCCGGTCTAGGTGTCAGGGTCAAAGTCTGAGTCTGCTTTCAAAACTCCGCGGTGCCTGTATGGCTGGAACTCGGAAATGGTTTATTCTGGGTCGCACAGAAGGAATCGGAGTGTAGAGGCAGATGGAGTCCCTTCTATGGGGTGAGTTTTCCACTGTTTCTGCGCAATCTCAGAGGCAGGCTGCTCCCTCCTTAGGTAAAATGCCCGCGTCGGGCACCCTGCAGCGAAGTCTCAGCAACACCTTAGGGACGTGTAGGAAGAAGGCCATCCTCTCCAAGCCGGAAAGACCACCCACTCTCCTAGTTTTCCCAACGGCCCCCTTTCCCTAAAGGACCCAGAAACCTGAGAGACCAGCGTAAGAGTGAAGAGGCAGGGCAGGGCGACCTTCTTTAGGGCTAAATTGAGAACTACCAGCAGCTAGGTCCGCCTAGAGCGCGAAGCGCGGGTTCGTCTCCCGCTAGTGTCATGTACCCGAC